GAAGGACAGATCGTGAAGTTGAGGCTCCAGTACTTTGGCCACCTCGTGAGAAGAGAAGACTCCCTGGAAAAGACCCTGATGTTGGGAAAGATGGAGGGCACAAGGAGAAGGGGACGACAGAGGACGAGGAAAAGTTCTCCTCCTCTGCTCTCCCTCCGGAAAACCCCTCAACATCTTCAGGTGTGTATCTCTCTCCCTCAGGTATGCCCACCCACCTTTTACCTGTTGAATAAATGAGAAAAAGAAGGTTATTTCTCTTACTTCTCTTAATTTGATTTCTTCACCCTAACGTCCCTCAGTGGACTACAGAAATTTAAAATTCAGTACCAAATTATCTAAGGTTGTTCACCAAAGCCAGACTAAACGTCTTTCCTTCTGCAGTGTTGGATGGCAGGTTGAGAGGAGTTCCCTACCAGGACAGACTTTGCTCATGTGCTCAAGACATCGATTCTATAAAACATATTTTGCTGCGAAACATGAGCAAGCCAAGGCTGAACTGATATTACCCTTGCTGGTACCTTTCCTGGGAAAATCAGAGGCTCATTATGTCAGGTTCCTATTGGAAGACCGGACAAACGCTAGAACATTAGCAGTGGCAAAGTTTTTATCGGTGGTTGCAAGAACCAATGATCCCTGTCTTTAAGTCTGAACAAAATGCTTGTTTAACCTGGAGGTAGGCTGTCTGAATTGTGCATTGCTTTGTAACAATTTGTTGGGTCTCTGGACCGTAATAAAGGAAAAAAAATCAATGCTAAAAGCAGTTCAAAACAATTTACAGTCACAGCGATCTGCTGTGACCTGAAAAATGTGTCTCTTGGATCATAGAATCATAGAGTTGTAAGGGACCCGAGGGTCATCTAGTCCAACCCCCTGCAATGCAGGAATCTCAGCTAAAGCATCCATGGCAATGCCCATCCAACTCCTTTCCTGCAACTTGAAGCCACTGGTTTGAATCCTACCTTCCAGAGCAGGAGGAAACAAGCTTGCTCCATCCTCCATGTGACAGCCATCTTTGAAGATGGCTACCATATCTCCTCTCAGTCTCCTCTTTTGCAGGCTAAACATCCCCAGCTCCTTCAACCGTTCCTCACAAGGCTTAGCTTCTAGATCATCCTAGTTGCCCTCCTCTGCACACGCGAAGCCAAAGTGGTTGTGTCTTCAGCCTGTGATGGGAGCAATACAATGAAGGTGCATGATCCAGGGGGCACGACTCTAAATCCGGCCCTACTTCCCTGCCAATTGGGCCTCGCTTGCACCTTCCTGCTTGGCCTCCACGTATAGGGGCCTCTGTTCGACATCTGCGGACGGCACTTCCTCAGAGACATCTGCGGCGGCCTCCTCAAATCCCACCTGCAACATCAGGAAGGAACCCTGTCAGGACAGAGCAACAGGGCAAGGAGGGAGAGGCCTGGGCGGAAAACCCAGAGCCTCCCTCAAACCCCACCCTGAAGCCATCACCCAGCCATACCCTCCAACGTTCCTTAGATGAAAAGAGGGGCATTTGTCACTCCCCACTCAACTGACCCTCCTCATCCCCAACCCCCATTTTTGTTCCCCAACCCATCCCAGCAGAGCATTCCCACCACGACCACACCAAGGGGATGCAGCACAAACGCCCTCCTGAGAAAAACCCTTCACCCCGGCTTTCTTTTTGGTCAATTGACAAAAAGAGAAGCACACGCCAATGAATACATTTTAGAAAGGGGCAAGGTTAGATGCAGACGCACAAATCACTTTTTTCAAATACAGCAGTTTTTGAAACGTAATCCGTTCCTGAAGACCGTTCGACTTCCAAAACGTTCGACAGCCGAGGCGCAATGGGCGTGAAATCCCTTGAAAAAATGGAGAAATGTGACTCGGAAGCCGTTTGACTTTGAAACGAAAAGAATTGCTTCCGAGTTTTTGGCGTTCGGGTTCCGAATCGTTCAGCATCCGATACGCTCGAAAACTGAGGTTCCACTGTCCAAAAATCAAGATTCCTTGTGCTCTGCTCCACTCCCCCTTTCTTCTTTCCCAGCTAAATATTTCTTTCTTTCTTTCTTCTTCTCCTCTGCCTCCCCCTCAGAGCTGGCGCGTCAAACAGGGCCTTAATGGTGGTGGCCTCTCCTCCCCACCCGCTATCTAGCAGCCACTAGCAGCTGCCCAAGGGAGGAAGCTGGTAGCAGCGGCCGTGGAGAGGCCATGGAGAGGCAACAGGATGCCCTCTCACAGCCGCCGCAGCCGCCATGGCTTGGGACAAGGGCCAGCTCATACTATTCCCCGATCTCGGCACTGGCAGCGGAATTAGGGACAGTCCAGGATCAAATCAGAAGCTGGGATGGCTTTCATAATTCCAGAACTGTCATTGGAGACAAGGGACACTTGGGGAGTATGCCTAGAAGAGCACAGGAATCATAGAGTTGGAAGGGATCCTGAGGGTCATCTAGTCCAACCCCTTGCAACGCAGGAATCTTTTGCCCCCAAACGGGACTTGAACCCGCAACCCTGAGATTAAGTGTTTCACTGAGTGAGCTAGGGGCATAGAATTGGACTTCCCCTCCTTAATCAGCATGAAACGGACAGGCTTCGCTCTCTTGGTTAACAACCCAGGGAGTGGCAGGATCAGCCCCCCAGGAGCCCCCCAGCAACACAGCCCCAAGGCGCATGTGAGCTCCTGCCCCTCAGCTTCCCGTTGCGCCTGGAGGTCTTCCTCGGCCAGGGCCACTGCCTGGGAGCAGCTCTCAGGCCCGGCCTCCCTGACCCAGCCCTGGACCTCGGGCGGCAGGATAGCCAGGAACTGCTCCAGGATCAGCAGTTCCAGAACCTGCTCCTTGGTGTGCCGGTCCACTTTTAACCACCCACGGCAGAGCTCCTGGAGGCGGCCATAGGCCTCGCCCCTCGGCCTCCTGGTAGCAGAAGCGGCGGAAGTGCTGCTGCCGCTGCTTCTCCTGGGCGGTGGTGTCCCCGCGCAAGATGGCCGCCTTCACTTTCCCATAATCCTCTCTGTCGCTGGCCTCCAGGCTGCCAAAGGCCCACTCGGCCCCTCCTCGGAGGGCTGGCAGCAGCCTGGCCGCCCACTCTCCCTTGGGCCACCCGCTCAAAGGAGGCCAGAAAGCCCTTGGCATCGTCCCATGGGGCCGCCTCGCCGATCCGGGCAGAGGAGACTCCATTGTCTTCAGGAACTCCTTGTTTTTAAATTGTATTTGTTTTTATATTGGGTGTTAGCTGCCCTGAGACCGGTCTTGGCTGGGGAGGGCGGGGTATAAATAAATTTTATTATTATTATTATTATTATTATTATTATTATTCTCTCCTGTGGAGGGGAGTTCCAGAGGTTAACGATACGCTGCTATGCGCTTTGGTCTCCGATGCTCTGCAGAAGCCCCCCCCCATCACCCAGGAATTGTAGGAGGCTCAAGCAGGCAGGCCCCCTTCGTTTTAGGAGGCTCCCTGCCCCATGCCGTCCCCCTCTTCTACCGCCCCTCCCCAGTACCCCATAGAAAAGCGCTGTCCACGTACCCTTTGACCCAGCTTGCTCAAAGAGTTTGCTTCTTCTGGAAGGGGGAAACCAGCAGCAGAGAGACCCCTGCCTGCTACCCAGAGGAGGGAGAGCGATTGCAAAAGAGGGTCTTTTTTCCTCCTCCAGCAATTCCCTGCCTCTCCGCCTCCATGCCCCAGTCTAGCACACTGTCCTCCTGTCTTCTCCTCCTCTCCTTCTTTCCTCCTCCTTTTATGCCAGCTGCAAAAGAAATTCAAAACCAAGGCCCACCCCCTAACCAGGGAGGAAAAACCCTTCCTGGCTTTCACAAGCCTGCCTCCCTCCTGCAACTCTAGCCATTGCAGCTCTGTGGGTTTAACTCTTCAGCTGCACAAATCCTTGCAGAATCGCAGCATTGGAAGGGACCCGAGGGTCATCTAGTCCAACCCCCTGCAATGCAGGAATTTTTCACCCGACATGGGGCTGGAACCCACGTCCCTGAGATTCAGAGTCTCATGCTCTGCCATCTGAGCTATCTTAGGTGCAGCCTTATTAGAAACGGTGCATTATTATTATTATTATTATTATTATTATTATTATTATTATTATATTGGTCCGAATATAAGCTGCCTTTCCCCCCCCCCACAATTCTGACCTTGAAAAGTTAAAGTGTGGCTTAAATTTGCGACCTTACAAAAACCGCCTTTTACGATATTGCTGCTGAAACAGACATACGGTAAAAGGGAACAAAACAAGTTTTATTGCCGATTTGCGAGCTTGAGACTTCATTTGCCATTTACGGGTGTGAGTGCCTGCGGCATTGTAGCAGCTGAATAGTGATTTGCGATTTTAGCGATTGTACGGTAACTTTTGTGGGCTTGCAAGATCAAAGGCTTAAATTGGCTCGGAGTTACACTTGTACCTGTGGCAGCAATTTTCAGCCTGTAACCCAATTTTAAGGGAGTGGCTTATATTTGGGTATTAACTTTTTTTCTCCCCCCCCCTTGAATTTTAAAGGTGCGGCTTATTTGTGGGTGCGGCTTATATTCGGGCCAATACGGCATTCTGTTGTGATTCTCTGCTGCAGACTAGCTAAGCAAGGTGTCTTAGATCTGAGTCTAATACACTAGAAAAATTCCGTGCGTTCATGTAAACCCAAAAACCAAACCAAAAAACTTGGGACATTATGCCAAATTTTAAAAATCCGCCCGGGCAACAATTTTAATCAGGAAAATAGAGGATGTGACAGGAAAAAGAGGACCCATGGCAACCAGGCAAGCTGAAAAAGGTCAGATGATGGAAAAGCGACCCAACTCTCTCTAGCCAGGAGTAAAACTCTTCCCTCCTCCTCCGCCTGATCCTTCTGGGAAGTTTCTCTCCCCCCTTCAAGTCCCCCCTCTCTGCCTTTGTGGCACAAAGAGCAGCAGGGCTAGAGTCTAGCTGCACAGAAGAGACTCTTCACCCCCCATGAAAGACTAGTCCCCACCCTCCTGTCTCGTGCTCTGCCAAATCAGACACCTCAAAAGGAAAAGAAGACTGAGAGTGAGGAAAAGATGATTTATTGGGACTGTTAAAAGTGTGACTGCCTCTTTCAGAAGAAGCAAGCTGCAGAGGGAATTGTGGGGAAAGGAAGGAAAAGGAATCTTCTCAAAGGGCCCTTGAAAAACTGCCCCAGGTTCTCCTGGTGGGTAAATGTCCGTCCCTCTGGTCTGGAGAGAAACTCCTGCTGGGCCTGAGAGGCAGATCTAGTCTCCTCAGGAGATCCTGAGGTGGGTTTCATTTCCCCTCAGATGAAAGAAAGGGAGGAGGCTCTCTCCCGAGAACGAGGCTCCTGAGAACGTGCAGAGTTCGGCGTCAGAAAAAGACACACGTCCCCCTTCATAGTCCAGAGTCACCCGGATCCTCCCTCAGGGAAAGAGGAGAGGGTTCAGGGGAGGTGAAGGCCTGGTACTTCCCTCCTGAATTCCCCTCCTCAGGCCTAAAGGGGAGGCACCCCTTTCTCCCCACAGACTTCCTGGCGACCCCCACAGACCCCCCCCCCACTTCCCACAGTGACTTCCCAGAAATGTCTGCCTGCTGTGAATCCCTCCCGTCCCAACACACAAGGGTCGCATCTGAATCTCTCCGGATGGTCAGGCAGGGCTTGAGGTTTGTCTCCCCATCTCAGGCTTTTCTGATCCTCCGACAGGATGAGGCTGGGATGGGCTGTGTCTGGATCCAGAGTGACATTTGCTGTTGGGGAGAAGAGGAGGGAAAGAGAAGATTAGGCAGAGTCAGCAGAGAGAGAGAGATGGACATCCTAATCCAAGAAGCACCCGAAAAACCCAGATTCCCTTTCAGCTCAAGGGGATTTCTTTTTAATCACATGGGATACTGAGACGCCTCCTTGCAGACTCTCATCAGAAGAAATAACTTCCTTGTTGATTTTTAACTCCGTTTCCTTCCTTCCTTCTTATATTCAATGTCCATTGTGCCTGCCCTCCTTCCAAACCAGGCATTTTCTAAGGGGGAAAACCACCCAGGAAACCTTTTGCTCAGCTCTTCTGTGTTCTCTAAGAGGAAAGAGAGGAGAATTGGAGGAGGCAGGAGAGGAGAGAAGCTGCTTTCCTCTGACAATCTCTGTGGGAACTGGCCTTTGGGGAGCTCTGGCTTGGGCTGGGGGAGGAGGACCCCCAGCAGTAATAGTAGTAGTAGTAATAATAATAATAATAATAAATATCCACCTTTGCATACTGCCCATCATATATAGGTCTGAGGGTGGTTCACAGCATTAAAATACAACACAAAACCACATAGAGGCTTCCCCTCACTTGTGCGGGAGTTATGTTCTGGGCCCTCGTGCACAAAAGTGAAAATCGTGTTAAGTGGGGAGCCTGTTTATTCCTGCTCCCCATCTCTCTCACTCACTTGGTCTCTCCTTCCTCCCAACCATCTTGGAAGTTTAGGCCTTGCCGCCAGGGAAGAGGAGGCAGGTGGAAGGGCAATTGTACAAAGGACTCCTTATTCCATGCTTCTCTTGGGGATTTCATATATACCATAAGACTAGTTCCCTGGGGGAAAGGGGGAATAACTGAAAAGGTTACCAGTTTGGGGCTGAGACAGTCATGATAGGCAAGTGTAGGGCTGCCCTATTTTGGAGAGCAAGAAAGAGGACACATTGGCCAACTTTGACTTTTCACCATGGATCGCTAGGACGACTCTCCTCTGAAATACCCCTACTATATGTAGGCTATAGAAGCTGTGATATAGTGCTAGTAGCAATGTTCTTAACTTTCAACAACAAAAGAATGATAATAAGAATACATATAGCTCCCTCACTTGCCACATGAAATATTTGGGCGCATGTTCACATCTTTCTGAATGTAAGTGTGCACAGAACAATTTATTAACCTGTTGAACATCTGCGTGTGGACTCTCCTTAAGGGCAGGGGGATGTTAACACGACCTCCCGGACCCTTTCTCCAAGATCTTGTAGCTGAGCCAGCGTCCTTTTGGTTCAGCCACAAGAGAAGGGGTTTTTACAGTATGTCGCTAGCTTAAGATGCTGCTCTGTTGTGATTCTCTGCTGCAGATTAGCCGAACTGGGTGCCTCAGATCTGACTCTAATGCAGGCATAGGCAACCTTGGCCTTCCAGATGTTTTGGGACTACAACTCCCATGATCCCTAGCTAACAGGACCAGTGGTCAGGGATGATGGGAATTGTAGTGCTGAAACATCTGGAGGGCCGAGGTGGCCTATGCCTCCTCTAATGCAATATTAAAATTTTCATGGGTTCTTGTAAACCAAAAAACCGAACAAAAAACCTTGGGGACATTTTGCCAAATTTTAAAAATCTGCCCCGATACAAATTTTAAGAAATTTTGATCATGAAAATAGAAGACATGGCTGGGAAAAAGAGGACACATGGCAACCAGGCCTGAAAAAGGTCACATGATGGAAAAACAACCCAACTCTCTCTCGTCAGGAGTAAAACTCTTCCCTCCTCCGCCTGATCATCTATGACATCATAGAATAATAGTAATAATTATATATATATATATATATATATATATATATATATATATATATATATATATATATATATATTGCTCCCTTGCTTGCCACATGAAGTTATTTGGGCTCATGTTCACATCTTTGTGAACATAAGAATGCACAGAACAATTCATTAAACTGTTTAATATGTACATATGGAGTCTCCTTAAGGGCAGGGGGATGTTAACTCTTGCCCTCCTGCACTCCTTCCCCAAGATCTTGTAGCTCAGCAGCGTCCTTTTAGTTCAGCCATAAGCGAACAGATTTTGCTAGCTTAAGATGCAGCTCTGTTGTGATTCTCTGCTGCAGACTAGCTAAGCAAGGTGTCTTAGATCTGAGTCTAATACACTAGAAAAATTCCGTGCGTTCATGTAAACCAAAAAAGCAAACCAAAAAACTTGGGACATTATGCCAAATTTTAAAAATCCGCCCGGGCAACAATGTTAATCAGGAAAATAGAGGATGTGACAGGAAAAAGAGGACACATGGCAACCAGGCAAGCTGAAAAAGGTCAGATGGAAAAGCGATCCAACTCTCTCTAGCCAGGAGTAAAAGTCTTCCCTCCTCCTCTGCCTGATCCTTCTGGGCAGTTTCTCTCCCCCCTTCAAGTCCCCCCTCTCTGCCTTTGTGGCACAAACAGCAGCAGGGCTAGAGTCTAGCTGTACAGAAGAGACTCTTCACCCCCCATGAAACACTAGTCCCCACCCTCCTGTGAACTGGGGTCTCCATGTGAATTTTACCTCTGCGGAGATTTCTGAAAGACTGGACATATGAGGAAGCAAAAAGAGGGTTAAGAGGCTACATTGCAATAGCTCAAAAATATATATATATTTTTGTAAAGCACCTGTTCTTTCCTTATTTTAAGCAAAAGATGACATCATAGAGCAAATAATTGCAAAGATAACAACTAAAGGCCTAAGGAATTAAAACAACTAACGTGTTTCGCTGTGATCCCTGCATTGCAGGGGGTTGGGCTAGACCAGGGGTCAGCAAACTTTTTCAGCAGGGGGCCGGTCCACTGTCCCTCAGACCTTGTGGGGGGCAGGACTATATAGTGGTACCTCGGGTTAAGTACTTAATTTGTTCTGGAGGTCCGTTCTTAACCTGGAACACCACTTTAGCTCATGGGGCCTCCTGCTGTTGCTGCGCTGCCAGAGCACGATTTCTGTTCTCATCCTGAAGCAAAGTTCTTAACCCGAGGTACTATTTCTGGGTGAGCAGAGTCTGTAACCTGAAGCATCTGTAACCCAAGGTGCCACTGTATTTTGAAGAGAGAAAAAAATAACAAAATCCTATGCCCCACAAATAACCCAGAGATGCATTTTAAATAAAAGGACACATTCTACTTATGTAAAAACATGATGATTCCCAGACAGTCCGCGGGCCAGATTTAGAAGGAGATTGGGCCAGATCCAGCTCCTGGGCCTTAGTTTGCCTACCCATGGACTAGATGACCCTTGGGATCCTTTCAAACTCTACTATTCCATGATTCCATGAGGAAATCAGAAATGGTAAACCATGCTAGAAAATGGTGGAATACTATCATTCAGAATCCATGAATGAAATGGGAATCTGTACTGAATGGCTGGAGGAAGGTTAACATCTGGCTTGAGAGCAGTAAATGTGAAAAGGATCTAGGAGTCTTGGTTGACCACAAACTTGACATGAGCCAACAGTGTGACGCGGCAGCTAAAAAAGCCAATGCAATTCTGGGCTGCATCAATAGGAGTATAGCATCTAGATCAAGGGAAGTAATAGTGCCACTGTATTCTGCTCTGGTCAGACCTCACCTGGAGTACTGTGTCCAGTTCTGGGCACCACAGTTCAAGAAGGACACTGACAAACTGGAACGTGTCCAGAGGAGGGCAACCAAAATGGTCAAAGGCCTGGAAACGATGCCTTATGAGGAACGGCTAAGGGATCTGGGCATGTTTAGCCTGGAGAAGAGGAGGTTAAGGCAGTGTTTCCCAACCTTTTTTGGGCAAAGGCACACTTGTTTCATGAAAAAAATCTCGAGGCACACCACCATGCCAGATGGGGAAAGGTCACTTTTTACTTATGTAAAAAAAATAAAAAAATAGTAACAGCATAGAAGGTAATGGTAGATGACTGTTAGGGTCTCCCCCCAAATGCAGAATTCTATTAATATCTTCCTTAGCGAGCCGCGTTAACCCCTGTAATGCTTTGTATAGAGTAAGCATAGGGGACACTGGGGGATGTGGAACCAAGGGGGCAGTGGGCCAAAAGAGTTCGGGATCTACTGCTTTAAACAGAAATAAGAGCCAGTGGGTTCTTCCTTTTTTAAAGTATCGTTTCAGCGGGGACAGCAGTCCGGATTTCCAAAAAGCGGCGCTTTTTTGCGTCTGAGCAAAGAAGAGAGAGAGGGGGGAAAAGAGAGAGAGATTGATTTGTGGCTGCGCAAAGGGGGGAGGAGCCCAGGAGTAAAAGTAGGAAGGACGAAGGGAGGGGAAAGGAAAGTTAATAGAAGGAAAGGCGGGTGGGAGAGAAAGAGAAAGAAAGAGGGAAGGAAGGGGGGAAGAGAAGTGGAAAGGAGGGAGACCGAGGCAGGGGAGAAGCGTCTGGAGAGTTGCTCCGAAGTTTGGGGGGCCGCAGGGGTGGGCGCGCGTCCCAGGAGGCGGAGGCCAGCCCAGGCTGGGAGCCGCGCCGCGACCCGGGGGCGGTAGGCGGACCGCGGCTCCTAGGATGTGGAAAGGGGACGGCGGCGCAGGGGGAGGAGACCCGCACGGCTAGGGCAGCGCGCAGGGGGAGGGGAGCGGGCCGGAGGCGGGCGAGGGGGGCCGCGATCCCGCGCGCCGCGATCCCGCGTGCCGCGAACATGGCCTCCTTCCCCGTGGGCCCCGCCGAGCCCCCCGGCCGGGGAGGGCGGCGCGCCCCCGCCGCCGGAGGAGAGCAGAGGCAGGAGGAGGAGGACGAAGGCGCTGCCGAGGAGGCGCGCCAACTTCTGCCAACTTCGGCGCCCGCCCCGTCGCCGCAGGCTCCTCCCGGCCGAGAGCCAGAGGACGGCGGCGGAGCAGGAGGAGGAGGATCGGGTTTGGCGACGGCTGCTGCGTCCTCTCCAAGCGCGGGGCTGGCCTCCGCCGCGCCCGATCCTCCGCGCTCGCCGCGCTTCTCGGCGGAGCAGGTCTCGTGCGGGTGCGAGGCGCTGCTGCAGGCGGGCGACCCCGGCCGGCTGGGCCGCTTCCTGGGCTCGCTGCCGCCCGACGCCGAGGCGCCGTGCCTGGAGGCGCAGGCGGGCGAGAGCCTGGCCAAGGCGCGCGCGCTGCTGGCCTTCCAGCGCGGCGACTTCGCCGAGCTCTACCACCTGGTGCAGAGCCGGCGATGGGATGTGGGAGGGAGCTCGCTCGCCGCCCTGCGTGTGCCTATGTGGGGCACGTTACAGCCCCGTGACGTCAGCGCCACGCAGGCAGCCAGGCAGGCAGACGGCGAGAGCCCCGCGCTGGGCGGCCTCTCCTCGCCGCCGCCGCCCCGCCTCTCGCCGCCCGACTCGCCCGCCTCCCTCCCACGGCACACCAGGCACCGTCTCGCGGCACACTAGTGTGCCGCGGAACACCGGTTGGGAAACACTGGGTTAAGGGGTGATATGATAGCCATGTTCAAATATATAAAAGGATGTCACATAGAGGAGGGAGAAAGGTTGTTTTCTGCTGCTCCAGAGAAACGGACACGGAGCAATGGATCCAAACTACAAGAAAGAAGATTCCACCTAAACATTAGGAAGAACTTCTTGACAGTAAGAGCTGTTCGACAGTGGAATTTGCTGCCAAGGAGTGTGGTGGAGTCTCCTTCTTTGGAGGTCTTTAAGCAGAGGCTTGACAACCATATGCCAGGAGTGCTCTGATGGTGTTTCCTGCTTGGCAGGGGGTTGGACTCGATGGCCCTTGTGGTCTCTTCCAACTCTATGATTCTATGATTCTATCTGCGCCAAGTGAACTAGTGGGGAAAAGCTGTTGAAACCGGAATTTCCAAGCATGCTGACAAACCAGAGGAAGAATCGGCAGAGCTTTACCCTGTAATTCCAAAGGTCTCATGCAATGGGAAGTCCTCCTGCCGGGAATGGGGCTGATCTCAAAAGCCCCCAAAGAACCTCTGCAGATTGTGTGGAGGGAAAACAAAATGCAAGGGAGATTCCTTATACATGAGAACGCGACAAGATGGACATTGGACTGACCCTGCAGGATCCTCCTTAAGGTTTTGTAAGATATTGTAAGACTCTGAGGGTTTTCCCTACAAACAAGCAGTATACAGATTTTATGAAAGAAAGCAAAATCTATAAAATCGAGAGTGAAACCAGGATCCTAGTCTATAGGCAGGAATGGAACTCAGACTGGTGTGCAGGTTCTTCACAGGGACAAGCTCTGCCCCCAATCCAAGCCTTCAAACCCTCTCCCAGTTCATTCATGGGACAGACCAAGAACCCAAACACCACTAGAGGACTGTTTCCCAGAGTGACGCCATTGATGGTGGTCCCAAAGTCTGCAGAACAGACGGTTTAACACCATGAAATATCAGTCCCCATCCCTCCTGTCAAATTGTTCCTCCCCTGGAAATTTACCTTTCTGAGTCTGTTTTCTGTATAACACAGCATCTGAGGAAGCAAAAAGATATAACGTGTAAGGGCAACACACTCTTCCACCTGAGATAAATCTCCATACAAAAGTAACACTTCATAATGTAGCATCCTTGAATTGACTCCATTCAGAGCAGGAGAATCTCCCAAAGGACAACCCCAGATTTATGTAGACTGGTAACCAAAAGGAAAAGGAGGTTCCGTAGAATTGAAAAGAGATACCCTCTGGTTCAGGCTTCCTTTACAGGATCCAGCCTCACAATATACATGGGCCATTCTGGGGGGACAGGAAATGAAGGCTGGAGCCCCAAGAAGGAAGGTATCCTGGGGTTACGCAATTCCATGCAGTAAGAGCCTGGCATGTTCAGTTCTGAAGAAATAATAGAAATCCCAGTGTGAAATCCTGGCAGCCAATTTCCATTACCTTCCCATTGTTTCATGGCATCCTCCACAAGGTGATTTAGATCACAGGATTCCAAGACCCTGTTCCTCAGCTCTGGAGGGAAAGGCAGTGGCTTCTCTGGACTCTCTCTTTTCTCATACCTGGTGAAAAGAAGAACAATGTCAGCCCATTCAAATCTGCAATTTCTGTTAAAGGAAAAGAAAGGAATTGGGAGGAGGCCTAGAGGGACAGGCATGCGCTGAGTGGGGAGTTTCTTCCTCACTACGGACTCCTCAGCCAGACCCCCAAGGGCCAAAACAGCAACCCCAGGCCTCTGAGTCTCCCCACTGATGTCTATTCAAAGCAGCAGCAGAATCCTATGGTATCAAGGGGCAGGAATTGTCTGAGGGTGGTGAGAGCACAGCACACATGTCCTTTCTCTAGATGTCCCCAGAGAAGGGGAGAGGAAGAAAAAGAGATGCCCTTTTGTGGGAAACAAGAAATGTTCCTTCAAACCTCTACTCTGCACCTGAGTGATTCCTTCAATATAAATACTGCAGCCGGAATATGGTCAAGAAAATAGCCAATTCCTGCTCCTTGGTGAGAAATCGCCCCCTCCCAAGGGGCTCTATGGGGCAGGAGTTTGCTTGGGACAGGGGGGGTGGCCGGCAGAGTGACTGAACTGGTCAGTCTAGAAGGAAACAGCTAAGGCAGGCACGTCCAACTCCCAAGAGACTGTGATCTACTCACAGTATAAAAAGACCAACTGTGATCTACCCATTGTCAAGTTCCAAAGAGGGGGCCCTGCTTTTACCTGTGAGATTCCTCTGGGAGTGAGTCCTCCAGTCTCCCCCCTGCAGCCCCTGGAGGGCCATGTCTGAGGTTCCTGCATCTCAGCTTCAAAGAGTGAAGCTAATGGAAATGAGCCAGATCCACTTACCTCTGCAAGGTGCTTCTCACATCCTAGAGGGGGAAAGAGAAGGGAATTCACTGCACACCACAGGCCACACTAGGAAGACCCCCTCAGACCCTGGCCCTCGGATGTCAGTCTGCCTGGCACATGCCAAGGTTTTGGGTAGGAATGGCTGAATCAGCCAGTTTTGGTTTCTCACAGTCTGAAATTATTAATTTTTCCAGTATCAAGTTCTCCACATTTCCACATCTGTTTACAATTATTTTTTAAGAATCCTTATGAAAATCCACCAGCATTTTTGGAAAATTTAATATTTGTGGGTTCAGGAGAAGATTCCATCCCATCTCTTGTCTTAGATTATAATTTATTAACTTTAATCCAGTTTGCATTGTGCAATTCAGACGTAAGTAAGCCTACAGGATAATCCTACCAGAGAACTGTCCCAAATTGTCTTCCATAGAAGTCCCCAAATTTCAAATTCTACTTTCCAACTGGAAATAAGAAAAGCACCTGCAGCATAAAATGCCTCCAAAGGGGTAATAAAGCACCTCCCAGTACGTTTCCGAGCACAATTCAAAGTGTTGGTGCTGACCTTTCAAACCCTAAATGGCCTCAGCCCAGTGTACCTGAAGGAGCGTCTCCACCCCCATCGTTCTGCCTGGACACTGAGGTTCCCTCCTTGCAAGAAGTGAGGTTCCAGGGAACCAGGCAGAGGGCCCTCTTGGTAGTGGCACCAGCCCTGTGGAACGCCTTTCCATCAGATGTCAAGGAAGTAAAAAACTATCTGACTTTAGAAGGAAACTGAAGGCGGCCCTTCTTAGGGACGTTTTTAATGTCTGATGCTGTATTGTTTTTAATATTTGGTTGGAAGCCGCTCAGAGTGGCTGGGGTAACCCAGCCAGATGGGTGGGACAAAAATATATTTTTATTATTATTATTATTATTATTATTATTATTATTATTATTATTATTATTATTATTAAAAGACGCCTGCTCCTTGGGAGAAAGGCAATGGCAAACCTAGACAGCATCTTAAAAAGCAGAGACATCACCTTACCAACAAAGGTCCGTATAGTTAAAGCCATGGTTTTCCCAGTAGTGATGTGTGGAAGTGAGAGCTGGACCATCAAAAAGGCTGATCGCCGAAGAATTGATGCTTTTGAATTATGGTGCTGGAGGAGATTCTTGAGAGTCCTTGGACTGCAAGAAGATCAAACGTATCCATTCTTAAGGAGATCAGTCCTGAGTGCTCACTGGAAGGACAGATTGTGAAGCTGAGGCTCCAATACTTTGGCCACCTCATGAGAAGAGAAGACTCCCTGGAAAAGACCCTGATGTTGGGAAAGATAGAGGGCACAAGGAGAAGGGGACGACAGAGGATGAGGAAAAGTTCTCCTCCTCTGCTCTCCCTCCGGAAAACCCCTCAACATCTTCAGGTGTGTATCTCTCTCCCTCAGGTATGCCCACCCACCTTTTACCTGCTGAATAAATGAGAAAAAGAAGGTTATGTCTCTTACTTCTCTTAATTTGATTTCTTCACCCTAACGTCCCTCAGTGGACTACAGAAATTTAAAATTCAGTACCAAATTATCTAAGGTTGTTCACCAAAGCCAGACTAAACGTCTTTCCTTCTGCAGTGTTGGATGGCAGGTTGAGAGGAGTTCCCTACCAGGACAGACTTTGCTCATGTGCTCAAGACATCGATTCTATAAAACATATTTTGCTGCGAAACATGAGCAAGCCAAGGCTGAACTGATATTACCCTTGCCGGTACCTTTCCTGGGAAAATCAGAGGCTCATTATGTCAGGTTCCTATTGGAAGACCGGACAAACGCTAGAACATTAGCAGTGGCCAAGTTTTTATCGGTGGTTGCAAGAACCAATGATCCCTGTCTTTAAGTCTGAACAAAATGCTTGTTTAACCTGGAGGTAGGCTGTCTGAATTGTGCATTGCTTTGTAACAATTTGTTGGGTCTCTGGACCGTAATAAAGGAAAAAATCAATGCTAAAAGCAGTTCAAAACAATTTGCAGTCACAGCGATCTGCTGTGACCTGAAAAACGTGTCTCTTGGATCATAGAATCATAGAGTTGTAAGGGACCCGAGGGTCATCTAGTCCAACCCCCTGCAAGGCAGGAATCTCAGCTCAAGCATCCATGGCAGATGCCCATCCAACTCCTTTCCTGCAACTTGAAGCCACTGGTTTGAATCCTACCTTCCAGAGCAGGAGGAAACAAGCTTGCTCCACCCTCCATGTGACAGCCATCTTTGAAGATGGCTACCATATCTCCTCTCAGTCTCCTCTTTTGCAGGCTAAACATCCCCAGCTCCTTCAACCGTTCCTCACAAGGCTTAGCTTCTAGATCATCCTAGTTGCCCTCCTCTGCACACGCGAAGCCAAAGTGGTGGTGTCTTCAGCCTGTGATGGGAGCAATACAATGAAGGTGCATGATCCAGGGGGCACGACTCTAAATCCGGCCCTACTTCCCTGCCAGTTGGGCCTCGCTTGCATCTTCCTGCTTGGCCTCCACGTATAGGGGCCTCTGTTCGACATCTGCGGACGGCACTTCCTCAGAGACATCTGCGGCGGCCTCCTCAAATCCCACCTGCAACATCAGGAAGGAACCCTGTCAGGACAGAGCAACAGGGCAAGGAGGGAGAGGCCTGGGCGGAAAACCCAGAGCCTCCCTCAAACCCCACCCTGAAGCCATCACCCAGCCATACCCTCCAACGTTCCTTAGATGAAAAGAGGGGCATTTGTCACTCCCCACTCAACTGACCCTCCTCATCCCCAACCCCCATTTTTGTTCCCCAACCCATCCCAGCAGAGCATTCCCACCACGACCACACCAAGGGGATGCAGCACAAACGCCCTCCTGAGAAAAACCCTTCACCCCGGCTTTCTTTTTTGGTCAATTGACAAAAAGAGAAGCACACGCCAATGAATACATTTTAGAAAGGGGCAAGATTAGATGCAGACGCACAAATCACTTTTTTCAAATACAGCAGTTTTTGAAACGTAATCCGTTCCTGAAGACCGTTCGACTTCCAAAACGAATGTAGTTGGTCAAGGGAGCCGTGGACTCAAGAAAGTCCAAAACCTCTGGGCTAAGGGAAACCCAGCCAGATTGGGGGGGGTATAAAAAGTAAGTTATTATTATAATTATTGGCATTTTCTCAAGTCTTTAAAAGTTGTTACACACACTTGTCTTGGCTGCTCACCTCCATGCAACATGTAAGGTGAGAAACTCTGTCGCAACAGTAAAATTAAGATCTGCCTTGCTTTGACTGGTTCCTGCCGCCGCTGATTTTTCTCTGACCGATCATGGATTTAGCCCCAACCCCAAGAAACCAGTAACTGAAAGGAGGTGGTTCATGGGAATTGAAGAGTATGCTTTCTGCATACAGCACACCCACTGCCAAGCACCTCCATCTCACCTGCCCCCAACCCCATACCACCCCTCTCCTAAAAACCCCAGTCTGTCACTGAGTCCTTCCCAGCAATAGAATTAGCCGTTCTGGAAGATTCCTAAAATGTTATTAATCCAGAGTTCAGAGTTCAGAATTCAAAGGTCCCAAATTATAAAATAAACGTTCATAAATGTACACGGCAAACACATAAGTAAGTACAGGGGTTCAATCCTGTCAGCTTCTTTAGGAGACAACAAGAGTCTGCAAAGCAGGATACAAATAATAGAAAAAGTATTAAACTGTACATTTCAAAGAATATATATATATATCACCCTAGTGTTGCATGGCATTAACGTTTTCTAACCACTAGGCCACACGGCCTCTCCTAGAACCTTGGCACTGAGGCCGGGAATTCCATGTTCCCAAACTGCCGTTGCCTAGCAACGGAGCTTGGGACCGTTTGAGGTTCCTCAGTTCCTCAGCATCCTGAGGTGGGCAGAGGTGTGCCAACCTGTTGCGACAGAGTTTCTCACGTTGCACGGAGGTGAGGAGCCAGGACAAGTTTAAAGACTTGAGTATAGCGTCACGAAGAGTCGGACACGACTAGACAGCAACAACAAATGGAGGTAAGTCTAGGTTGCCATGGCCAGGGGACCTAACCCTGGAACCTACTTGTATGAACTTTATTATGGTCACAGACCAGGATAAAAAAAAAGAAAGAGCATATAAATAAAGTAGCAGTTAGGATTTATTTATTTTTAACCGATAACTGTTAGAGCAAATGAGGACAAAGAAACAGGCATAGGATAAAACTGTTTAATGGTCACTTTAAAATGTGAAGGTTCATTGTTGCTTCACAAGTTGTGTATGTCTTTAAGGGCCAGGGCAAGTAACGAAACCCACTCTTACAGCTGTGAAACATAGCAGGTTCTGCTGAGTTGTGTTAATCAAGCTGTGTCAGCAATTGGGTATAGTACCGTATTTTTCGCTCCATCGGACGCACTTTTCCCCGCTTAAAAAGTAAGGGGAAATGTCTGGGCGTCTTATGGAGCGAAGCCAGCAAGAGCCGCTGCTGCCGACAAGCTCTGCGCAGCTCTCCCTTTAAAGCAAGAGCTGTGTAGAGTGTGTCTGCGGCTCTGGCTGGGTTTCCAGGGAGGCGGGTCTGTCCCTCCTTCCGGCTCATTGTAAAGCCAGCAAGAGCCGCGGCTGCTGAGCTGAGGCGGGGAGGAGGGAGGGAAGGGGATTCCGTTGGTCCCTCCCTCCTCCGTGGCTCCCTTTGAAGCAGCAAAGTGGGAGGGAAGCCGCTTACACCCGTGTAAGCAGCTCCTCTCCCACTTTCCTGCTTCAAAGCAGCCACGGAGGAGGGAAGGAGGGGACCCATGGATCCTCTTCGCTGCTCGAGGCTGCAGCGGATTCCCTCCTCCCGGGCTCCCTTTGAAGCAGCAAAGTGGGAGGGAAGCCGCTTACACCCGTGTAAGCAGCTCCTCTCCCACTTTCCTGCTTCAAAAACCACGGAGGAGGGAAGGAGGGGACCCATGGATCCTCTTCGCTAGCAGCAAAGTGGGAGGGGAGCAGCTTACACTCGTGTAAGCAGCTCCTCTCCCACTTTCCTGCTTCAAAGCAGCCACGGAGGAGGGAAGAAGGGGACCCATGGATCCTCTTCGCTGCTCGAGGCTGCAGCGGATTCCCTCCTCCCGGGCTTAATAATGTATATACCGTATTTTTCTCTCTATTACACGCAGATTTTTTCTCCTAAAAAGGAAGGGGAAATGTCTGTGCGTGTTATGGAGCGAATGTGGGGGGTCCCTGGAGCCGATTAGGGGAGCGCAGGAACAAAAATCAGCAAAAATCAAATCGTGCGTTGCGTCGGAGAGGGAAACCTGAAAAGAGGAAGTGGTTGCTTTCCTGCATTCTGCCTCAGGGTCTTACTGCCCACCCTCCTCTGTTTCGTTGCTGTGTTTGCTCAAACGGAACAAAGAGCAGGCAAATCCCCTCCCCTCCAGGCAAGCAGAGGGGAAAGCAGAGGTCTTTCCTTCTAATTCCTCTCCGTGCTCCTCGCAGGCAGCCAGAAAACATGCAGGAGGAGAGAGAGAGCTGGCTTCGGTTTGGGGAAACTTTTGCCTTTCTTTCCTTCCTCCCGTTAAATCCCTCTCCTGCTTTCTTAGCCAGCTGCTTCTCTGCACACCGCTCTCTTGTCCCTTCTGTGTTTTTCCTTCACTCCCCACTTAAAATGTAGTTACAAAGCATGGATCCACATGGATCCTCAGGATCTTTGCATTGGGCCACCCCAAATTCACCATCAGATCACATAGCAGCCTGCCCCCCAAAAATCACACACCCACTGTTGCCTGGGGCTGCAATGGTGCAAAAACGTGGTTAAAAAGCATGGATCCACATGGATCCTCAGGATCTTTGCATTGGGCCACCCCAAATTCACCATCAGATCACATAGCAGCCTGCCCCCCAAAAATCACACACCCACTGTTGCCTGGGGCTGCAATGGTGCAAAAATGTGGTTAAAAAGCATGGATCCACATGGATCCTCAGGATCTTTGCATTGGGCCACCCCAAATTCACCATCAGATCACATAGCAGCCTGCCCCCCTAAAATCATACACCCACTGTTGCCTGGGGCTGCAATGGTGCAAAAATGTGGTTAAAAAGCATGGATCCACATGGATCCTCAGGATTTTTGCATTGGGCCACCCCAAATTCACCATCAGATCACATAGCAGCCTGCCCCCCAAAAATCACACACCCACTGTTGCCTGGGGCTGCAATGGTGCAAAAACGTGGTTAAAAAGCATGGATCCACATGGATCCTCAGGATCTTTGCATTGGGCCACCCCAAATTCACCATCAGATCACATAGCAGCCTGCCCCCCAAAAATCACACACCCGCTGTTGCCTGGGGCTGCAATGGTGCAAAAATGTGGTTAAAAAGCATGGATCCACATGGATCCTCAGGATCTTTGCATTGGGCCACCCCAAATTCACCATCAGATCACATAGCAGCCTGCCCCCCAAAAATCACATACCCACTGTTGCCTGGGGCTGCAATGGTGCAAAAATGTAGTTAAAAAGCATGGATCCACATGGATCCTCAGGATCTTTGCATTGAGCTACCCCAAATTCACCATCAGATTACATGTCTGTGGCCACAGCATGAAGCACAAAAATGATACATCCACTGTTTCATTCAGAATTTCCCCCCTTGTTTTCCTCCTCTAAAAACGATGTGCGTGTTATGGTCAGGTGCGTGTTATAGAGCGAAAAATACGGTATGTCAAGGGCTTTGAGATGCATATAAAATCAGGCTCAGCATTATTAACTGGACTTAGATAAGCCATGGTTCCCCTTCCTTCCCTCCTCTGAGTCTCGCTTTAAAGCAGCAAAGCGGACAGGAGCCACCCGCTTTGCTGCTTTAAATAGTTTGGTACAACATTTTATTCAGAATATTTTTTTCATGTTTTCCTCCTCTAAAAACTCTCTGTCTTCTGTCTCCTCTGCCCAGGAGGACTCTCCTGTGTGAGTGTCTGAATAGTTTAGTACAACATTTTATTCAGAATATTTTTTTTCATGTTTTCCTCCTCTAAAAACTCTCTGTCTGAGGGCCCTGCTCTTGCCGCTTACCACCTACCTGGCCCAGGCCTGAAGCATCACAGGGACTGCTGCGCTCTGCTGCCCAGGAGGACTCTGCTCTTGCCGCTTACCATCTACCTGGCCCGGGGCGGGGCCTGAAGCCTCATAAGGACTGCTGCGCTCTGCTGCCCAGGAGGACTCTCCTGTGTGAGTGAGGGCCCTGCTCTTGCCGCTTACCATC